AATCTAGATTTTTAAAAAATATTTTAATAAGAATAATGTGGGATAGCGTGTACTTAGGTTGATATACTTCATTTTGTGCATTTTCTACACTTTCAGGACTCCTCCTGTTCTTTCGAGGCTTTGTTAATTATCTTAAAGTCAGAAATATGTCTGAAAGCATGGCAGCTGCTCACAGAACAAGATTTTTTTTCTTGTACTGAAGGTAAGCAACTTTTAGTGATAAGATTATCTCTCCCAGGAAAACTGAGGAGAATGAAATACTTACATTAAAAATAAATAATCAAACTTCTGTCACAAAACAGAAGTTGCATGATTTTTTTAACATCTGTCATTAATGTTGTATATATTCTACATGGACTTGGAAATATCTGAAGTCTCTTGAAGTCATGAAATTTGAAAGTAAATAATGCATCCTTGTTGCCTCCAGTCCTCCCTGGAACTACTGTTCAGTAACAGAAACGAAGAGGAACCTGTTGTTTTTCCTAAGCAAGTAGCAGTATCTGCTGCCTGTCAGGATACTGTCCTTTGTGTTAGAAAACTGGCTTTAGTAGTCAACCTGTTGTCAGCAAGTTAGGAAGCACTAATCTGCCTGCATATTAAATCTGATTTGACATGGGTCTGAACATGCAAACAATAGATGAGTATTGTCTTTCTTTACATGACTGGATTAAGACGGTCATGTACAAGTATGATTATTGTGTATGCAACAATGTGCTTTGTATGTCCTTCAGGTAGCTGACTAATCAGTGTGGCACACATCCACTCTTTTGTTGTTGTTGTTCTTTATACTTTTTATCCGTTAGGTGGATCTATTGGACTTCGCTATGGAACTTAAACCAGGAGTCTCTGTTTGTGTTCAACTTTTTTCACTTAAACTGCATGACAAGATAAATTTAAGCCTAGCATTTTCACTACTCTGCAGTTTACTTAAAATGCTTAAATACTGTATTTTGACTTAACTGAGAAGCTATGTTTGCTGTAATAAAGCACGTTTTCATAACTTTTCTCCAAGATTGGTCACAGGATCAATATGAAGTAACCAGCAACACATTATTGAAGCCTGAAAAAAACTGAGGCAGTATTTGCCTAAAAAAACACGGTTCCTTTTATATAAGACAGTGATATACATGTAAAAACAGCTAATGATAAGTATCTGTGCTATACTGTATAGTCCTTGATCATGGAAGAAATCTGTTAACATAACTCAACATAATATTTCTTTGTAATGTGCCATTTTGTCAAAATTATGTGGTAAGTTAAAGTTAAATAACTAAGGCGTATGTTGCCTTTTAGTAACCAACCTAAATTGGCATCTACATGGCAGCGTTTCTTTTTTACAATAGTTACATATCACTCCTTTTCTTAGTAGTGTGGTAACCTCTTCAGAACACCAAAATTTGTAGAGACGAGACTGAAAACATCTGTTAGCTTTCAGTACAATAAAGTTCAAAAATACTATTTCAAAAATAATCCTTAGGACTAATTGGTATTTGAAAACTGTAGCTTGAAGAGAATAATGAGTGTAGGATAATGTGGTCTGGGATTCTTTGCTCTCCTGCAGTTAAAATTCTGCTTTGGGACAAAACACTAGTTAATTCAGCATTAACTGAAATTAATGAGTTGTCCTATCTGAGTTCAGTGGCTTTGAATTTTTCCTTTACCTGTAAGCATGACTGAGATGTATGGGCTGATAAGGTCTGTGGAGTGTTTAGAGAGCTGGACACGTAAATATTTTTTTTTTTTGAAGCATTTTCAGTATTGAAACAAGAAGTTCAAATTAACTGCTATCACACTTAACTACCCTTGTTCTTGCACAGACAGGTAACTTCCTCTACAGTGACTATTAGTTTTAATAAATAACAAGTATTACCTCTACAGTTACAAAATATTCTCAGGTGTTCTTTTGAAATGATAACACAATAACTGTAAGTTTTCGCATTTTTCTTCCACCCTGACGTGGGGGGGTAAAAAGGCTGTTTTGTTGCTGCTTCTAGGTTTAACATCAGTTAGCAACGCTACTTCTAGTGAATCACTGCGATGCACTGAAGTACAACTCTTTCTTTATCTCCAGACTGCATCGAACAGACATTCCTTTCCTATACCAGAGTGAAACTTCCAGATGATCTGTAACCCTCCAAGTTGATAGGATAGAAGACTACTAAAACCAGAAGATAAATTAGTGAAGATAACGGCTTCAAAAACAAATGACAGGATGGTTTATAATCGAATACCAGTTCTGGTCATTCTAGTAAATATTTATAATTGCTGCCTTTTGTTCTAGCACATTTGTATATGTGCTTATTAAAAAGATAGTATTGAACTAAGAACAAACTATCTGTTAGTATAGATTAGGTACAGTCAGACTCAGTTAATCTGTGCTTGTTGTATCTGAAAGATTTAAGTGGTAACTTGTTTCACAGTGTGTATGTACCACTGACTTGTTGGTCTGAACTTTGAGTGCAATGAAATGCATTCAATGATTCAGATTAACCAGTTCAGACAGTTTTTTATATAATTTAGATTCATCTAATGATTGTGTAGAACACTTTTAAGTTTACTAAACCCCAAAGTTCCTTGTTGTCACAAACTTGTATTCGCCAATATTTTATCAAATTCAAACCAATATACTGGTTTGTTTAAAACCGATACTCCACTTTGAGTCCCCTGTAAATAACTCTGCGTAAATGACTGTTTGAATTGCTTCTTAGGAAATATGTCAAAATATATTTTGTAACAGCATATTCTCTAAATTTTGTTTAATCTTAGAGCTACCTACATATTTTTTGTTAATTGGCTATTAAGGCTATAGTTACTGTTAGATGTAATTTTGGAGGTAAAGGCATTGAATTGTTTGTCTCATCCTAACTTTCCTCACATGAATTATTATTATTAGCTGGTTTGGGCTTGAGCCTGAAAGTCGTTATTCATATGCATGATCCCATTAGAAGACAGAGTTTGTTCATGTTAGCAGGGATGGACAGCCTTACATCTTTAGTCCTTGGTTATGCAGCTGGATCCTCGTAGGTGCACCTTTGTTCCTGAAACAGAGTATCGCAAATGTATTCCCTGGGTTATAACACCGGCTCTGTTTAAGAAGTCTTGAGTTCAGTGTAAATACAACATCAACCCTGAGGGCTTCTCAAAAAAAATTCATATAGCTATCTTACAGTGCTTGTTTAGAATAAATACTTTGCCATTTCCTAAGAATAAACTAATTTAAATGTAAGGTAATTTGGAAATAATCTATGAAGGGGGTAAAAAAAAAAAATCTTACTTTCAAAGCTCTGAAAGTAGAAAATGTGTGTTGCACCTCTCCCAGTATTCCTTTAAGATATACCATTACTTTCTTACAAATATCATCTCTTTAAGGGGTACTGTCTACAGTTCATGCATGTGTGGTTTCCTTTAAAGATTGTGAAATTTATGCTTCTCCTTAAGTAGGAGAATAGATCTCTCAGTCCTTTGTACAACTGGAATCTCAGTTGCAAAAATACATTGGTTGTTGGTTGCACCTTTGAGGAAAAAAAATACAAATACTTTCCTCCAGTTTTTCTTTTTATATTAGAATTCTGCCTTTTTATTACTAACATTAAAACCAGTGAGGTTTATGTTGTTTTAAGCTAGTGCTGTATTCAGTTTTGTATCTATAATGAATGTTTAAAATATACATATGTAAACTGGTCACATTATTCATTTTCTTAATCTTTCAGAGATACTGAAAGTGACTAAAACTTTAGGGGCACCTCCACTGCCCAGCTTTTTATGGAAAGAATAAAAATTAAGTATTATGTTCAATATCCGATTGGGATTTCCTTCTAAACTTATCTGTTTGTTTCTGTGTTCTTTTGCGTTCATTGTCCATATGAAAAAGAAGCGGATAATAAAACATGGCTTTGTTTTGCTAATTATGACTTACGCTTTTTGGGTTTTTTGTACTTCGCATTGGAAAATGCACACTGCAATATTTGTGTCAACATGGAATTACAGAGAAGTTTCTTGGCAAAATAGGTACTAATCAATCCTCTCTACACTTCCCGTTCTCATCTCATGTTTTATGGCAACAACCTGTAAGGACATTTCTTTTAATGAGTTAATATAACTGTGCAAAGCATGCAATATTGATTCATTTTCTGTGTTTACCAATATCAGCTAGTACTATTTTCCAACTATATCAATTTTCCCAAATAAAGTACAAGTCTTCTGATTGAATTATTTCCGTTTGCTCCACTGTATTTTACAGAAAGCTTCATACAGATACTTGGTTTTTTTGTGGTTTTTTTTTTTTTTCTGGACTAGCCTGGAAAAATAAACTTATCTGTTTGTTTCTGTGTTCTTTTGCGTTCATTGTCCATATGAAAAAGAAGCGGATAATAAAACATGGCTTTGTTTTGCTAATTATGACTTACGCTTTTTGGGTTTTTTGTACTTCGCATTGGAAAATGCACACTGCAATATTTGTGTCAACATGGAATTACAGAGAAGTTTCTTGGCAAAATAGGTACTAACCAATCCTCTCTACACTTCCCGTTCTCATCTCATGTTTTATGGCAACAACCTGTAAGGACATTTCTTTTAATGAGTTAATATAACTGTGCAAAGCATGCAATATTGATTCATTTTCTGTGTTTACCAATATCAGCTAGTACTATTTTCCAACTATATCAATTTTCCCAAATAAAGTACAAGTCTTCTGATTGAATTATTTCCGTTTGCTCCACTGTATTTTACAGAAAGCTTCATACAGATACTTGGTTTTGTTGTGGTTTGGTTTTTTTTTTCTGGACTAGCCTGGAAAAATTCTCATTTGGACAGAAAGAATATGTAGGGTTAAAAGTGTACACATGTTATCTAATCCTCTATAGTCGATGCAGCAGTTTGGTAGCCTGAAATCTCATCAGCAGGAGGAAGGGAATTGGGACGCTGTTTTCAAAGACTCTGCAATCTATTCCAGATGTGTCAAATGCTGCATATTTTCCTTGCTATTTCCTGTGAGCTTGGTTAGGAGCAGCTGGCTCTGTGGTTTAGAGACACCTGGCCAGCTTTGCTTTGTGTCCTAGTCGGGGCGGGGGGGAAGCTCCAGTATTGCAGTGAAGTTGACTGTAAACAGATTTTGTATGAATGCAAATAAGGCTTTGAAGTTTGGGGCAAAAACAGCTGGGGGAGGGGAGGTGGGGAGAGAAAATTCCATTTTATTCGAGCAACTGGCATGAATGTAATTTTTTTAGTTTTGTCATCTACTTTTATTGATGTGGACACCACAGGAAGATGGGCATCTCGAATATGATTCCAGTAGCCTGCGATTCTATTAACGCATTTCAGAAGTGATCCATCACTCACACTTCCAGTCCTCTTATGGAGAGGAGGTTGTCTCCAGGCTTTCACTTTGCTGCCCCACCTCGAGCATGGACACTGTCCTCATCCTGCAACACCTTCTAACCTGGTTTCAACACCCTACTCTTTCTGGGTCCGCCTCCCTCCCTTTGAACGATGACAACAGGTGAGGAAAAGTGGTTTTATTAATATGCTATCCTAACATCAGAAAGCTTTTAATCTCTTTTCCACTTTTTGAGAATGTTTTCCCATAACACTCTGCATTAGTCCCTCCTGTGTGGTTGATTGCATTGTTCACTTGAACAAAAAGTTCATCTCATGAAATTACTATTGCTTCCCGGACTTTTGAAGGGAAGGTATGGAAATAGATCTCTCTCAATAAGGAAAAAAAAAAAATTCTAATCCTGCTAAAACATGATTAGCATATGTGCGAGCTACCGAGAAGCAGTGGAGTCCAGTGTATTGTTTGTCCTATGTATGTTGTTCTTTTCCACCATCCCAGGATCCTTATCTTTTTCCTTTATACTTCCAAGGGTACTTTTACCATCTGTATTTTCTCTACTTAGCATATCCTTTCCACTTCCATGCCCCTTCTCCTTTCTCTGTGCACTTGTTACGTGCCCTGCAAGGACAGGCAGAAGGCTGCCCTACTGCCTGTTGGCTGTAGTTAATAAATAACCCACCCAGCAATTTCTAAGTTTGGTTCCCCCCCCCTTAACTGCAGTGATGCTTTGTATTTTCATAGGTCCATATTTTATAGGTAAGCCATCTTTTTAAAATCAATGATTTTCAGACAACTGAAAACGCTTGAATATATGACTGCGCCATCCACCCGTTGTAAGTATTGCATATGCAAGTGGAATTAAAACAGTGGCAGAATTTGTTTTAGGCATATTTTCCTTTAGCTCCTGAAGTGTCTGCATGATCAAGTTTAAACATTTTTTCTCATATGTAATTGGGTTTTTCCCCCTACCCTTCCCAAATGAAAGAAAAGCCAGCTTTCCTGAATTTTTGTCTATGGTATATTTTCTACATAAGGAAACTTGCATGCGGTGAGGCTTAAGTATTGCAAACAGCATCAGCTCTCCAGCTATTGTTCATATTTTTTTTGTGTGAAACAGAAAGGTGTATATATTCAAAAAAGTTTAAAATGTTTTGGTTCTTTTATATTGGGGCATGGTTACAGTTACCCGCATGTTTTTACATCTGTTCTTGTAGTCTTCACTCTTAATTTTTCTTGTGGTCAAAGAAACACTGTGTTTGTGGGGGTATCCTTAGTGTAATACGAGAAGTTGTTCATTGATTCTTCATTATACATGGCTGCACAGATGCCCATCCCTCTTAATTTTCTAGGTTGGTGTAGTCCCATGACTTCCAAATGCCCAGTTTCACATGGAACAGGCTGCTGCTGCTATAAATTGTTTATTAGTAAAATAACTATAAAGCAAGCTTCACTTGCATGTGTGCATTAATTGAGTCTTGTTGTTTAATATAATTGCAGCAGCACTGCTGGTCTGTCCACTTGTGCTGCTGTACATAGCTGATGAGAGCTCGCTCCTGCAGTCTGAAGTCTTAGGTGTGTTTTTTCCATTAGTAGTGACAGGGTGGTTGAGCGAAGTCTGCAGGTCTCACTGGTGGAAGCGTTACTGGAATAAAGCCAGTGCTAATTGTTCCGTAATTGGTAGCATGAGCACCTGCGGGACCATTGCTTAGCTGGTCTGCTCTTCTCGGAGTTTCTAACTGACTTCTAATTAATGAATTAATTTGACAGTGTCTCTTGCATCTTTCATAGAAAGTCTTCATACGGATTTTCGTCTTAAGGGATGGCGAGTTGTTTTTGATGGGTCAAATTTACCTCTTATCTCTCAGAACAAGGAACTTCTGAAGACAGCCCTATCAGTTCACTTCTCTGTATACACAGAACAATGGAAATCATTTCTGCAGATTAAATTGATAAGCCAAATACTCCTATTTCTACCTGAAATGTGAATCAGATCCCACTTAAAAGCTGCTACTTTGAGGATAGTCTGACACTATGGTTAAGCAAAACCAATAATTTCTGTTGTAAATAATTATCGGCAGTCAGTTGTAGTGTTACTCTACTTTGGATTCTCAAGTGCTGCTATTTTTTCCCCGAGGAGTCAAAGTTTTGGGTTTTTTCTTTGTAGGGAACTCGCAACACTTATTCCAGTTCTGCTGGTGTTCGTCATAACATGGTCATATGTTAAATGCGAGAAGCACTGACAGCATAATCCTGTGGTTAAAAAAATTTAAGTGTATGCATTCAGGAGACTTAAATGTTTCCGAATTCTGACTGAAAGCTGACATGACGTGTTGGACTCGGCAGGTTACATATGGCTTGGCTCCGGTCTCTGCCCGATTCCTCCTTCATAAGGATGGCAAGTGCTGCTATGCAGTGTGCTCTGGGTACGTCACGGGTTCAAGCTGAGGTTGCTGCGTATTAAGCAGAGATTCGCTGTGAAGGGAGCAAGAGAAACAAGGGGAGGAGGAGTGCTTGGACCTTTAACTCGGTTTGCAACAGCTGATGTAGCAGGTGTTTCTGGCAAGATGATGGGAGCACATCTGAGTGCACTCCTCACCCCCTTCCTCCCCGGTTGACCAGCCACTTTGTGTACCTGCGTAATCTGTGAAAACGGCCCTTAGGTTTTCTTCCCTTCCTGCAGACAACTGGAATAGCAAACTCTCCTCCACTTGGACAGAGAGAAGGAGATCCCAGCTGGCTGTCCGCGAAGGCGCTTGGCCAGCAGTTGTTAGCCTAGCTGGCCCCATGGGAAATGCCTCTGGCTCTTTCCCTGCCTTGCCATCAGGAATGCAATCTGCAGCCCTGTTTTTGATTATACAATCTGCATGGCATATGCAGCCTTCTCAACTCTTGCGACACTGAGGTTTACTTTAACGAAGAAATCAGTGTTGTCAACTTTATATTTTGTCACAAATCTCGTGATGCTGGGCAGCTTTCTTACTGTTTCACTTAGTGGTAGCTACATGAGGTTCAGTTTAGGGTGGAAAAAGGTATGTTCCCTCCCAGCATGTGTTTTAAAATCTCTTAGATGGGTGTGATGCGTTCATGAACGCTTGATCCTGATCTTGTGTGGACCTCTCTATAACTACCCGGTACAAAGGGATCACTGAGATTTGTGACTGGCTTCTTAGGAATTACCATTTTACTCATGAAAATTGCACTTTTTAAGAGAAACTGCTGTTACTAGTTATGTTATCTATTCAGTTACAGCGACAGCTGTAGGAGGAACATAGCCCAGAACGCTGATAGCTCTTACTAATACTGTCTAATGTAATACATTATTTCAGTGAATGAAAAATTTCAAGTACTGTGTTAAGTTTTTCATGTTGGAGTGGTTTTTTTACTTGCTTCTAACTTTGATTTTTGCATTTAACTTGTATGAAGTTTTTTTTTTTTCCTTTGGGGGTTGTAGACAGCTAAAGTGTTTTTTTTTTTTCCTTTGGGGGATGTAGACAGCTAAAGGGTGAATGTTGCAGTTCTCAAAGGCTGAGTCACTTAACTTGGTTGTTCTTAGAGGGTTGTGCTTCTTTGAACT